CGATATCCTGCGAGCTTAATCAACCTGCCCGTACTGGTACGTAATGCATTGCATGCATCTTATCCTACGACCTAACTACGTACCTACATAGTTACTTAGGTTTGAGTTTATTCTAGTATTCTACCAAATTAAAGTTTGGAAAATTCAGCCATTCAGGGTATATACTTATTCACATGATATTGCTTGTGCGAATTGTGCGATCTCTTGTTTGATATATATACACGTGCACTTATTTCTGCAGACGATGCATTATTGTACGTACCCCAACCCAAGACCCATCAAGGCTGCCTTCTCGGCACTGCCTACGGCTCGCGACTGGATGATTCTGGTGGTGTATGGCACTCGTTACTTCAGCACGCTTCGTCGTGGCAACTGGTTCTGGAGAACATATGATTTCTCCCAAAATGGAGAAAGGGCACAGATCTGCCTTGGCGTTGCATACAGAGATGAAAAATTCTTCTGTTTGTTTGAAAAGGGTGATATGTTGATTTACAATGTTGACAGGAACCTCCAGAAGAGAGGGAGGAGGAGGATGTTGGCCGCTACAAACCCTTTGCTACCTGAGCAACTCGATCACATTGAGAGCGTACGCGTCGTGGTGGCACCAACAACGACCACAGAGAGTGCTCGAGATTGTCAGCGTGAGGAAGTAGGAAGGGAGACAGAAGTTACGGTGGTGAGTTGGGAACGAGATCTTTGGGCAAGGGGAAAGAACAACTTCCGACTGCTGACATTGGAGAGGAAAACTATGGTGTTGACAGATCTATTAAGGAATGATGATGATCAGGAAGCGGTGTCCATGGAGGAAGGAGAGATAAACAACAAAAGAGTGATTTTAGTGAAAGATGAGCTCCCCTTGAAGACGAGGAGTTTTGAAGGTCCGTGCCATTGCATATTGATAGTTTTTTGTGTAATATTTCTCCCAATATATGCCATGTTGATTCACTATCACATCATAGGGATTTTGTGACGAAAAAATTTATTGTTATGATTAGAATTTTATTCAAAAAATCTGTTTATAGTGACCAAAAAGTACTGGTAAGAGTTTTGGTCAGTATTCATCCCGTTAGAAAATGTATTTTCGGACCAAAATATTGATTTGCTCACGATACATATGACCATTTTGGGGTCTATTTATGAATAATTTCGATAATATTTATTTTCGGTAAGTACTGGTAAGAGTTTTGGTCAGTATTCATCCCGTTAGAAAATGTATTTTCGGACCAAAATATTGATTTGCTCACGATACATATGACCATTTTGGGGTCTATTTATGAATAATTTCGATAATATTTATTTAATTATACACCTCTTTCCATAAATTTATCTAAGTAATTATTCATCAAATTAAACTATCAATTATTTATTCTTAACAAAATAAATGTGTCGAGTTAGAATTGGGTAGCAAATTGAAAGCTTTGGCTATTTTATAGCATTTTGAATAGTTTTGGCTATTTTTGTTCCTGTTAAAAGGTTTGACTATTTTTGGGCATTTCCCTAATAAATTTGCTAGACTCAGTTTTAAACTACCATGAGAATTAAGTTTTCGAATTCATTAAAATTCCAAATCCTGCAAATATTTAAAAAGTTTGTTATAACTAAGGCTGCCTAGTCTTCAGGTGTTCTGTGCCTTGGGCCTTGCCATGTTACTGAAAGGAAGAAAGAACGACTTGGGCCCTAATCCGCTTGGGGGGCCGCTGCGGGCTAACACATTCCATTGTGGGCGCGGATTTGCCCATGGACAGTGTGGGCTCGGATTTGCCATCCCAAAATTGTCTTGATTAGCAATGGTTATGGAGATCAGTGTAGGATTAATTCCTTTATGCCACAACTTTATCAAACATAAAATTTCTTTATGCCCTACACCTTAATTTTTTCTAATCGCCCTAATTTTTAAATGAAAAATACCTTTTTATCCCTTCCCTCGATTCATCGCCCTTATTTCCCAGCCTTCCTTAACCTCATATGATTTTCCCCGGATAGGAGACGCGTCGCCGCCGCACCTCCATCACTGTACGAGATCTGAGGGGTACCCGCCTCAGCGCCGCTCCCCGAATACATTTCTTAGTACCCGTCATTGGTTCCACCTCAGCATTAGCACCGATACAATGGCTACCATAGATATTTCTTTGCGCGGCGGATAGATCCTGGCCGCCGGATAGATTAAAGCGACCATAATTTTCCAGCCAAAAGATACTTACATCAAATTATTACAAATTTTCGAATGTAGTAGTCCTTGTTTTTCTCTCCAAAAGTCACGGGGGAAATTGATTGCAATGCTCTCCAAAAAGCCCTGTTTCCCATTGATCCCCTTCGTTTGGCCGTCTATGTGTGGGTACCGGGTAGAATTGGAACTCAGTCTAGAACGGCGGTGAGACTCTATGTGGTGGAATGGTGGCTATTAACGAAATGATAGAGTAAAGGCGACCACGTCCTTGAGATTTCGAGGAATGCCGGCTAAGGGTTTTTGGCGAGTCGGTAACCGATGTTGGTGGATGATTAAAAATTTTAGGGCTCTGTTTGTTCCGTTGAACTTTAATCGATTAATAAAGGAAAATTACGTAAATTTACGTTTTAAATTAGGACGATAATAGTAAAACTAGGGCGACGTTTAGCCGTCCAGATTTTATATCACTCGACTAATAGTTAGGAATTGGGGATAAGAAATTCGCACAATAAAAAAATCATGAAAAAAATGTAATCCTGTCACTGGAATTCTCAAATGTCAAGTTTGTTGTGATGAGATTGGTATGGTAGGTGAAACTCTCCAACAAAGTGACGACTAACCCCAAATAAAATCTAAAATCAGTGGGTATTTTATATATTATTATTTTTTCTGATTTCCAATTTGGTGGGCTTCTTCTTTTGCATAGGTCAGTCAAGCCCCCACAACTATACTAGTATTCTTTCCCCCACTAAACTTGATTAAATAAACATGTTTAGCATATTGATGACATGATTAGCTGGTGATTAGGCGGATCATTGGTCATTCTGAGATTAAAACCTGTTAAATTACAAACTAATCGAATTTTTTTATATATATTGCCTTTGGGAAATGATACATGTCTAATAAAATTTAGTAAATTGATAGAATTTATAGGATCTAACATATTTGTCAGTTCATAGATTCTAAAGAGGTGTTTAAGCTAATAGACAAATACGAGCTTGTGAGCATCGAGCATGAATGCATGCTTATGCAAATGGGATGCCATCATGTTGGATATCATCGAGCATGGCTCTAGCATCATATCTAGGTAGACTGATATATTTTGTGGTGGCTTCTAAAAATTACGCAAAAAATGTACAATACACTCGCCAGTATATGCCTAGCGACGTATGAACAAGGTATCTCAAATGGGAATGCCAAAAATTAGAATAAGAACAAACGAAGCAACTAAAGAAAATATGAGCAATATCCAAATGATGGATAACGCTCGAAAAATTCACAAAATATCTATGTATAACACTCAAATACATAAACAGTTTCTACTTGTTCATTGTCTTTTTCTAAAATTTTAACCTTGAATAACCCTCGAATTGGCTCACTTCTTTATTCGATATTGTTCATAGCTAACCTCAAGTAAAATACTGTAACAATCTATTTATACGAAACTAGTTTTTTTTAACCTACACAAATATAAGAAAATGACGTGTATTCTTTGTAGAAAATGCCAAAGAAACAAATGCATAAGTGAGCCAACTTGTGGAAAAAGAGAGCTGGACAAAAGCTAATCAATCACTACTCAATATGCACAACCTTTTTGTCAGCCTCTCTCAATCAATCCACCCATCTCTCATTTTCATAAAAATATCCAACAAATTTGTAGTCGGCTGATTGAGATTTGAGAGAATGATCTTATTTGAGAAAACAACTTTATTTTCGAATTAAATGAAGGTCCACCCAGGAAAATATACATGAATAATATATTAATGAAAATTATTATTGTTCTGAATACCACAAATTATGTAAATATTGACGTCGTGAAAGTTCTTCCATTTAATGATAATTTGAAGTTTAATTCTTGTACCTTAAATAGGTAGGCGATTTTTCAGAGTTTAACCACGATTAAATTACAGTTTGAGAACAAAATACCTTATCTCTAACTTTTTTGGTACAACCTCAACATTTTACAATGGTTGTTTTTTACAGGTCGATTGACTCTAAGTCTTCAACCATGGTTACTTGTGATGGAAGCCACATCCTCTTAGTCAGACCCATATTAGATAAGCACCGCTTAAAGCATCTTACATTGGATAAGCTGTTTTTCAGTACTACGTTTCAATAAGTTGTTTAATAAAGAACCGTGGAAGAGGTTGCACCAAAAACTAGGGGGAATTGGAAACGCCATAAAAAAAGACTTTCTCATTCCAGCCAAACAGTAAGCATCATTAGTGATAATTACTATGCAAAACTATTCACACTAGCTAGTTAAATTTACACTATTATTTAATACTTAGTTGGTTACCAGCTTAACCAGTATTGTAACGTTTGTATTGAATTGTTGAAGCTACCAACGTTAATAACTGAACAAGTAACAATTAACAAGCCCTTTATTAACAGAAAAATATTGACCAGGTCCTCGTATAATGGGAAAAGAAAAGGAGAAGAAAGAAATCAAGTAAAAATGAGGAAAACATCATCTCATTAATTTTGTGCTTTAGATCTACGACAATTATGAATATTAAATTTGGCAGAATTTTTTATATATGTTTATAGAAAGTTAATTTTTGGTCCATTGTTTGATTAATAGAAATTCATCTAATTTCATAGAGTTACATTATGTATCATTTGATTCGTGTTCGTGATAATAACTTACACGAGTTTATGATAAAAAAAATAAATTTGTAAATATCTCCTATCTAATGATACCTCACAGATTAATAAGTTTCCGATACAGATTAAATTAAAGAGAGTAAACATAGATGTACTTTTTGAAGAAGGGTTAAATATGGGAGGAATAGCAATAGAAAAACAAACTGACAGAAGTCTCTTTAATTTCCCCGTACAAAATTTTACCTTTTTACCTTTTGGCCTTTACCCTTTCGCTACATTTACATTTTTGTCTCTCACTCTCTCTTCTCATTATTCTGGACCAAAGACGACTTTCAAACTCCTTGAAAAAGAAACGCTTCTTCTCTTTCCCCTCATCTGCCTCTCCTTTCTGATTCTCTGCCACTTCTTCTTTCTTCTTCACTCTCTCTCCGCGGCGGAGAGAAGAAATAGACGAAATAGAGAAAGGAAACGTTTTTATCGTTGATGATCAGAGTGAAAACCGTGGCTTACGAAGCTTAATAGTCGGTTCTTGGCAGAAAACAGAGTGGAACACAGAGGAATATGGGTTCATGTGTATCAGTTCACAAGGCCGCTGGGACGCCAGAGTCCGCCATGATGGGTGTTTCGTTTGGAAGTTCCAAAGGGGACAAGCTCGAGAAGCTCATCGTCCTCCCTGAATCCCCTGTCAAGGAAAAGCTCGTCGCTTCCGCCGTAACCGTCGATGACCTTCCAATCAAGCGCTTCCACAGCTACGGTATTGTTTAAACCTTGTTCCCAAATCGAGAGGGGCTTTTTCTTTGTCTTTCTCGAGCTTTTCTTGTTTCCCTTTCCCCCCGTTTGCTCTAGTGGGGTCTGATGATCTTGAAGAACTGAGTAATGGGTTCGCTTGACTACGAGTCAAAGTTGTGTTCTTTGAATGATTCTGGTTGTGTTTCGATTAGAAAGAAAGTGTTTGATTTTGGTCCCAACTGGGGTTTTGATTGTTTCCTTCCCTTGTATTCTTCTACTCTCTTGCGATGGGTTATCTGAATCACGGCGCCTTCCGCTTGCAATCTTGGAAGAGTTAAAAGGTGTTGGTATAAGAGTTGAGAACTTCCGCTGAATTCCTTACAGGCTGCGTTCTCTGTGTTCTTACATAGTTCTATAATGATCTAGCTGCTCCTGTAGGAATTCAATTTGAAAGTTCTAATCTTTCTATTAGGAAGTTCTTTATAAGCTATTGCTATGATTTATTCCCTTTCCTTTTTGTTGTTTTGTTTTATCTGAATGATTGAATCTGGTAACCATGAGGAGATAGTGGAGGAGGAATGGAGGGAGGTTGTTGTGAATCGGTGATGGATGGTTTATTGTAATTAGGCCTAAAAATCTCTCAGCAATAGACAATTGACTTTATTGGAAGAATCCCTAAAGCCTAACGGGACAAGTCATCTCAAGCATTTGGATCTTTCTTTTCTTTCTTTCTTGCCCTCATTTATTATGGATGCTTGATTTCTTAAATGTATTCTAAGGATCCAATCCTTAAGTGGGGGCCATCATATTTGGTTTTCTATCTTCATAATTAATGGAAGATGGGTTGCTAGAAGTACCCAACAAAATGGGGTTGAGGTGGATTGTTGGTTGATAGTGGTCCACATGAAAATGGAGGGTTTCATGAAAAATCATACCTCGTGCTAGTTTGTTAACCATTCATATAATTTGTGTTGTCTATATTATCTCCTTTCATATTTCTTGTGCTAATTGATTGACACACTTCATCAAGTTTTAGTTATAACCGACAATGGAATTAACGTGATTAGTATATTTTGAAACAATGCATCACTTTAAGACATATGTTATATGCTATTATCCCCAATCGTTTGTTGGAAATTTATTAAGGGAGCAATTTGTTTTCATGTCAAATTTGTAAATCAAGTTAAAGTTGTGCTTTATGATGGTATTAGGCCTAAAGTTTATCTGTGGTTTTGTATTTTGTTTGCTCATGTGCTTATCAAGCATGTTTCTCCATATCATTGCTCCACTTTCCATCTACATATTGGTTGGGGTTTCCCCCACTGCCCATTTGGGGTTTCACATTGAATTGTCTGTTAGAAAGTGTCCCATTATTCCTCTGCTTCAAGGGAATTGACAAAAGTAGAAGAAAGAAGCAAGTCACAAGTTGTGGTGGTTGTGGGGAGAGAAGTTCCAGTTATTGATATTTTTACCAGATCTCAGAATTGTCTTTCTGTTGAGAAAAAACATTAACATCTGTCTTTGTAATTTATGGTGGAAAAAGTAAATGGATTTTATGTGTTTGGTGATATAGTGGGGAAAAGCAGGAGTGTTTGTTACTCAAAGGATGCTACTATCGTTTTAAGTTGCTTTCTTCTGTCTCTTATTACTTGATTACTGAAGTTGATTTTTACTTTTACAGGCAGTAAAGAGGATACATTCTTTGATTCCCAGCCCTGGTTGGAATCTGATGGTGAAGATGATTTCCACAGTGTCAGGGGTGGTATGTGAACTCTTTTAACTGTTTGAGCTCGCTCACACTTTGTTGGGAAGCTTGCTTGTTTTTTCATTTCTCTCTCTATGGAAGTGAAGAAGCCTGGTTCTTTCATGCTGTGTGTTCTTCATAGTCCTTCTATTCTAAAAAGATGTCGCAGAACCATTTTAGAATGCTAATCAGCTGATCCATGTGTGCTCAAACGCAGATTTCACCCCGTCTCGTGGGAGCACTCCAGTTCATCACAGTTTTGCAATAGGAACCCCTCAAAAGAACAAACCGGTGCTCGAGGTGACACCTCCTGATCATTCAATACCCGAGCCATCCCCTACAGGAAAGAAGAAGAAGAGACTTTCTGAACTTTTCCAAGACAGCATGAGGGAGCGCAGTACAGAAGACAATGAATCCACTCCCAAATCTGCGGAGGACACACCATATATCTCCGGTGTCAACTCTGTCTGCAGCAGCGAAAGGACTCCCAATGGGAAAGCTCTAGTGGAAGAGAAATGGTTTAACAAGTCGATGCAAGGTTGCCTCCCAAGCTTGGTCTCCTGCCATAGTTTTAGTTATAGGAAGAAGAAGATGATGAGCCCCCCAGCAGCTGTGGCAGTAAATGGTGTGGCTTAATGACGAAGTCATCCATCTTGGTTCACAATGCTTATGTATATCGATCTTTTCTACGACTTCACTCTTTGTCAGCCAGATAATGTATAGTACCCCCCATGAGACTAAAGGGCATGAAAATGAAGTTGAGGCAGCAGGAGGATTAAAACCTCTCACATCATCAACCCCCTAGTGAAGGTTATGTGACATCCTCAAGCTCATAGATTTTTCTTTCTTTCGTTTCCGAAGGATATATCAGTCACTCTCAAATAATGAGCTTGTAGTGGTGATGACATTGATCTTCATGTATCTATGATAACTACAAGGAAGAGATCTTTATTTAATCCTTCTGCAGGCAGTCAGAATCCTGCAGAGTATTCACATATAGCTTCTTTCTGTTGACGAGTAATGCTTGCTATCCAAGGAAAAAAAACATGCATCTCATTCCCTTGTGATGGTTACTTGTGAAAGGAGAAAAGGGTAACCATTCCAAAGGTGATGAACTTGATAGAAGATGAGAAATGACAATTTGCCAGGAAACAGGCAAAAGGGCACATCCTAGTCCGTGTCCATTAAGGATTGCTGATCTCAGGAAAAAGGAGATGGGCTATCAGGATTTTCCCAAGTCCAGAAGCTACTAAACTGCAAGCTGTTATATGAGACGTCTGTGAGAAAAGCTTGTAGTCACATAAATCATGTGTCCCCAGAAAGATGATCTTCCACCTTTCTTTTCTCATGTATGTGATGTGGGCACAAGATAGATGGGACCATAATACTACATGCTTGCTTGTTTCAGAGGTCACCTTTCTCTTTAGTCTTTGGAGCCTTTAGGAGATTGCAAAATCAGGAACTCAAGACAAAGGCCTCCTGTGCCCTTCATCCTCAATCCAACCCCTCAGAGGCCCAGTACATATTTCTTAGCCCAGTACACTCTTCGATAGAATAGAAGGCCTAATTGCTGATGATCAGCAATCAATATAAGGCCCAGTACAACTCAAGACAGTGAGAAGTGAGAACACTTATGTCGCACTTATGATCAGCAATCAATGGATCTCTGAAGTCTGCACTATATAGAAGAGGAATATAACTTGAAATTGAGAGAAAAAGAGAAAATAAAACTGTATCACCTATGACATCATCTAGGACTATGCATTATGATAAACTAGTGAGTCAATGAGCAATATGAATACCTGAGTCCTGATTCTTGACCATTCTGGAGGGTCACATGAATGGACTAAATGGAAATGCTACAAAATAAACTGCAAGAAAGACAATTTCTTTTTCTCCCCTGACATGCGAAGTTTCTGTACTTGGTATCAGATAGTATGTTAGCCCACCTGCCACCTACCATAGCTACCCAACTTATAGCAAAACAACGGACCCCAAAATTTCAAGCTTGTTGAACATTTCACAAACTTCACTCTAGCAATGAGGCTGACTCTGTCCAATAAAGTCAATATCTTATACTCAAAACTCCTCTATTTTCTAATATCATGACAATGTAAATTGAATTTCTGACCGCAAATGATTTTTAATGATAATTTCTTACACATCGTAATACTTTAAATATTGAAAGAGAATAGTATAAGGTTCGTATTTAACTACCATCCGACAATTAGAGTAATTGATGTGCCAATTAGTTCTTGACATAATATCCAAGCCTCCCACGGTGAAATGTATTATGTTCTAATTATAATAATCCTGCAATTAAAGATTGATTTTAAGCTTACATTCTATCAAGTTTGTGCAAACGTTTAACTCATTTTTTCATCAATCTAGTTTAAGAAAGCGTGAGAAAAATTGATATACTATTCATATTAACAGAAACTCTGTCAACAACTCAATTTATCGAGACAAGGAATGAAATGTAAGGAAGTCAATATGGTTATGTAACACTTGCAAACTCATACTGACTTGCACACTTACAATGAGGTGTGAACAGCAAGAAAACAGAGGCAGTCTCAAAGACACCATCCTCTGTTTTTTAGCACCCAACCCATAATTCATCCCATCTCCCCACCATACTCTCAAATCATTTCAAGTCACCACCTTTCTCATAACCCTTTTTCATAGTTTGTTTCCTTCAAAATCTTTGGGACTTCCCGCGCAAACCCATCAAAGAAAAAGGGGTAAAATCCAAACAACCGTAAGTCCATAATCATTCCTCCATGAGCCCAATCCCATTAGTTATGCTAGAGCTTTCTGGATTCTGCTTTGCCTTTGGAGAGAAATGGGCTAAGAAGTTCCAATCTTTATCATACTTTCATGAAAGAACTTGGCCAAAGAAAAGAGAAAGTTGCAATCTTTATCATGATCCAGGACCCTCTCAAGGATGCCCTTCCACTCAACCATTTTGTTGTTTTTTTACAATCTGGATCATGATCATCAAAGTTTTGGACCCCACCGTTGTTGGTTTCTTGTTCCTCTAGCTAGATCAAGCACAACAGAACAAACCAATATATGCTTCCAACTCTTGCCAGCCAGCAAGGCCCTTTTTAGAAATCTGTTTCAGGTTTCACAATTAGGCTTTCTTCTTGGCTCATCATTCCTAGATAACTAGGTCATCCTAATCAATCTAGGTCATCTTAATCAATCAGTTTTCGGAGGATACCATAACAAACCTTATATCATTCGCTTACACGTATCCTTAAGTGAAACCTAGCTTATAGACATGGAATTTGCACAATTTCGCAAGTAAGATCCTTTTGCCATCAGAGATACTCACCCAATATCAAAGTTCCAATAGCTTGAGCTGTTGTCCAAGCACTATCTTCTTACAGCAATCATATACGGCTTTCTTTCTTTTTTTGGTTTTCCATCATTTGAAGGAAAACTGTTTTCAGTTATGAATACCCCTCAAGAAATACACTCATATGCCCCTTTTGTCTTCAATCCTTTAAGCAATTCAGTTATGCATATAAACACAACCCTTCTATCAATTCCCAACCAAAAAGATAAGAAGCAGACAACATATTTTTTTTTTTTTCAAATCCCTTTTCACATTCTGTCTTTTCTTCTCTCTGCTTTCCAATCCACCTTTTCCGCTCCTATATAAAGAGCAGCTTCCCATTTACACCCTCTCCCCATCACCCAAAAACAAAAACATAAAACATCCTACAGCCTCCAAATCGCATAATTAGCTACCCTTTGATCATGGCTCCTCATGGCCTTACCAAGTTGATCAAACTGAGCTTCTATTCCTTGGTAGTAGTCATGATGGTCATGACCCATCAAACCCAAGGCTTCAGGTTGGGTCCTCTGTGGAGGAAGAAGAGCAAAAATGTAGTGATTGATCCCACCCCAATTGGGATATGTGCTTCTTCTGTTTTGGTTCATGGATACAAATGCCAGGAGATAGATGTAAGATGCTTATACTATATAACCAATGCTTAGTACTCTTTCTGCATTCATGGAGATTGATGATCATCTGTAATTTTGCAGGTGGTAACCCAAGATGGGTTTATACTGAACATGCAGAGAATACCAGAAGGTAGAGATGGGAATGGAGGTGGTGATGGAATCAAGAGGCAGCCTGTACTAATTCAACATGGAGTCCTTGTGGTAAGTGCTTTTACTTCAGTTCTGAGTCCTGCAGTTTTGCTAGGGCCATAAAACTCTTCCCACCAAATATAACTACATGCTTTAGCCTTAGTTACACAACCTTGGCAGCAGCCTCAATGCTCCTAGAAGATACATACTTCACAAATCACGACTCTAATGAGCTCAGAGCAATGCCGAAAAGAACAAAATTTTCAGTTATTTAACCAAACTCTTGTAACATGAAAACACCAAGTAAAAAACTGGTTTCGCACTTGGTTTTGAATTTTGATCTTCCTTTCCTAAATAGTAATAAGCTAATGATAGCTATGGTATACATGCACTCAAGTTATGTTTACTTTTGGTACATCAATCTAATTAAGTAGGGCTCAAAAACCATAAAGGTAAAAGGGAATTTGTGGAGACAAGAGAGTGGAAAGATGGCATTTTTTTTAAGGTGAAATGGGGCACTTGTGTGAATTTAGTGGACTTACAATTTATGGTTATGGGTTTATTGTATTCAAGTGAGAGATGGATGGCCATTTGTGAATGGAATCTGAAAAATTGAGTCTTTTTTTTATTATAAATTTCCTCAATTAGTTAGTTATATTTAGGGCTCCTGAAAGTAATAGAAAAAACATCAATGTAAAGTTGCCGTTACTGTTCTTTGAAACTGATTCCTTGCTCCCTTTTCTGATAGAGCTTTCGAACTGGCCTCCATCAAGATGGTCCATTCTGTTCAGTGGGAAAAATGCAAAAGACCCAATTATGATTCCAGAAAACAGGGGAAAGAAAAATGGCATTTTTTACCTTTTAAGAAACCAATAATTCACTTTTGTTTGTTTTCCTTTTACAAGTGTTTCATCCTATGTCATTTCACATTGCTGCATAATAGAATTTGTGTTTGCTATACTGACATACTGTACTTTTACAGTTTGCTTAATAGGAGTGTGTTTGCTTTGTAGAATTCCTGTCCCCTTCCTTCTATAGTTGGTATAAATTACAATGGAAAATATGATTTAGAAAAGTGCAAAAAATAAAATAGGAATAAATGTTATGGAGAATCGAAACAAAAAAAAGATGAAAAGGAGGGTACGAAGCAAACCGCTAAAAACAAAATCTACAGTATTTTGCTATATTTGTAGATTGCGGATAACATCACTAAAAAACGACGAATTAATGACTCGAACAAGATGTGTTTAATACAAGTGTACTTATGTATCTTGAAATACTATGGAGACGAGAAATCAAGTTTAGTAAATGATTCACGACCACATAATCAGTACGTGATTACTAAATAATATTTGAATTCATCAATGATATAATCGTTTCTTGACCGATCTCGATCATTATAATTGGGAATCTGACAGATTTTCCAATACTTCTATTTATTAATATAAACTAAAATTAATTAAAAACAAGATTGAACGAGGTAATCAAATAAAAATCGTCATCCAAACCAGTAATTTGACACTAAGTATATAGGAAACATTTACATTCCCAAAAATCCTCCATTCCCACTCCCAATCACCAATGGGAAGTATGGCTAAAGGGACAGGAATTGAAGTAGTTCCTGCCAAATGTTCTCTGGTGGCAGAGTTTAAGGAAAACTGTCTGTAGTTGTGTTCTTGTCTGAGTGGGAAGAAAAGATGGGCTTGATAGATAGGGTTCATAAATTGATGCACCGTTTGATGGCCCAAACTTCGAAATCTCACAGAGCCAGAGAAGATTTTATCCTGTACAGTACTAAATACCAAAAGGACACATGCAACTCATGCACGACGTCCCCTGTTGTTTGTCTGGATTATAACGTGGCCCAATTCTGTTTGGGTTCGTCTCAAGCAAGAACTTGTCCAAGCTACATCCACCTGCCTACATGGTATTGGGCTTTATATCTTATACACATGGTCTTCTTTTAGTTATATTATATTCTACTTTAGACCCGGCAATCGGAACGGGTCGAGTGATTTCGGGTTGGATGACTTTAGATTACCAGTCGTTGAGGACAGCGGGTCATGTCGGGTTGGTTGATGATTTTGGATCACATATTGATTCAACTAAAAAGTTTTTGCACGAGTTTTCGGTCATTTTTTTTTATGTACGAGCGTTCTCACAAATAGGAATAAGTATATTCGAAAATTTATTCCACAGTCATTGTAGAATGTTAATTATGTTGAAAATGAAGGGATTTTATAGTATTTTATTGTAGCTTGAACCAATTAACTAGGTTAATCATTCAAGGGTTACCTTGAAAGGTTTGATCTACTAATGGAAGATAAAATTCATCACACTCTCGGTTCCTATATTGAAACCAACATTTATGTTAAAAGGAACATGACCTGAATCGGAAGATCATGAAAGAATCATATAATAAAATTTGTACTAGTTTGGTTTTATGATGATTGAAATACATCATACATCCTTGTTTCGTAAATACTACTGTATTTTTCATGTGGTCATATTGTCGTTCGAACACAAAGAATTTAGTATATGATGGTGGATACTCGAGTTAGAACTTTTCTGATAATGATTTTTCTTTGGCTACAGGATGGAATGACATGGCTTCTGAATTCTCCAGAGCAAAATCTACCCCTGATCTTGGCCGACAAAGGGTTTGATGTTTGGATTGCTAACACCAGAGGAACCAGATTCAGCAGGAGGCACACCTCTCTAAAACCCAATGAACATGTTCTCATCCTCTCTCTCTCTCTCAAACTCATAATAAGCTGTACATTCAAAGCTAACAACAACCATTGGAAGTACAAATGGAAGTAGTACTATGTACTGTATAAGGGTTCTTTTCATGAGGTAAATCTCTCTCTTTGCTTGTTGAAAAACCTTGCAGGCTTTTTGGAATTGGTCATGGGATGAGCTAGTTCTGTTTGATCTCCCAGCTTTTGTAGACCATGTCCAACAAGAAACTGGTCAGAAGATGCACTATGTTGGACATTCCCTGGTAAGACCCATAAGTTCAGGCACCAAATTCCAATTCCCAAAGATATTGGGTAGTACTGATAAAGTTTTCTTGTATGTATTGGTGATGGCAGGGGACTTTGATAGCATTGGGATCATTCTCCGAAGGTTTGCTTGTGGACAAGCTGAAATCAGCTGTATTCCTCAGCCCAATTGCCTACTTGAGCCATATGAACACTGTCATTGGAGCTCTTGCTGCCAAAGCCTTTGTTGGTGAGGTAATGTACATATGATCCTAATTTCTCCAGTAACAGTGATGATTCAAAGGGTGAAAGAACCAAACATAAGATGTCTTTTGCTTGGTTGCAATCAGATGACTGAACTGCTTGGTTTTGCTGAGTTCAACCCTAAAATGTAAGTAGATTCTTCTCCCAGCAGCAGCCTATAAAGAAAGAAAGAAAGAAAGAAACAGAGAAACAGAGAGCTTTATTGGAAGAATCTTCTGACTAAGTTGAAGTATTGTTTCTTGACAGGAAGCTAGTTACTCAGTTTCTCGATGCTCTATGTGCTTCCCCTGGAGTTGATTGCTATGACCTCGTTTCTGCCTTCACTGGTACACACAATATAACATTGATCATCAGTTCAACCTTTTGATTCTCTTTGATGCTACAAATTAATTGGTCATCATAACTTCAATTTTCACGAGTTGGGTCATATATGATAGATGGTCGTCATAACGAGTTGATCATGATGGATAATGAGCCATAATGGATAGCGAATTACAATTGTTACGCCGTAATTGGTTTTGGGTCACCAACAAGCGGACAGAAGAATGTGCCAAATGATTCAGAGTCATGATTTGAGTTGCTTGATTTATATCAAGTTGAAGGTTTCATCACGAGTCGGATTAATGTGTGTTATGTGGTGAATCGGCTTTGTGAATTGGGTCAAAATTTACTCACCTCAAATCTCAAATTTGACAGGGAAGAATTGCTGCCTGAACTCATCAACGGTTGACCTCTTCCTGCAGAACGAGCCTCAATCAACAGCCACCAAGAACATGGTCCATTTAGCTCAAAGTAACAATCTTTTCGATCTCCTCTCGTTGTATTGTTTAAGAGTGAATCTTATATCACGAAATGAGAAACGATCATTATGATCCTTCTTCTCGTTGCAGCGGTCCGAGATGGTGTGCTAGCAAAGTTCAACTACGGCACGGCCGACTACAACATGATGCACTACGGTGAGGCCTCGCCGCCGGTGTACAACCTCTCCAACATCCCGCACGACCTGCCGGTGTTCCTCAGCTACGGCGGCCAGGATGCTCTGTCCGACATCCGGGATGTACAGCGGTTGCTCGATAGCTTCAGGGCCCATGACGTGGACAAGCTGTCGGTTCAGTATGTGAGGGAGTATGCTCATGCTGATTTCATCATGGGTGTCAATGCCAAGGACATTGTTTTTAACCAAGTCGTCTCATTCTTCCAGCACCATACTTGAAATGACCACAACAAATGCCATGCCAAATGGGTCCAAAATCTAGCTAGCTATGTATACATCTAATCACGCACAACCAATATATGATACATCTATATTAGTTTCTTGCAAATCAAGAAACTAGCTTTCTCTGTCTCTCTTTCTCCTATTGTAACACTAATAAACCTCTCAAATCTATAGAGTACTTCACGGTTATATATGTAAGTTAGTCGTTGAAGTTGTGTTATTTGCACTTGTTTAGAAAATAACTATGTAGTTATTCAGTTCTATTGGGTTGATTGATCGATGGATTAAAACCCAATCAAATTATATTGAAATATATATGATATAGTATGTCTTTCTAATTCGATTGTTAGATTGTTTTTGGTTTTCGACTTTATGAGATTTTTTTCAGAGTTGAGCGACTAAATAAGATTGAAAACATGGATAAGCCTAATACAACCAATACATACATAAGCCTAATCGAAAGAAAAAATAGAAACCACAAAGCCCAAATACAAGGACCGAATAAAGACAACAAAATACAACCCCAAAACCAAGCAAACAAACGGGCCCAAGTTTCAACTCTAGCTCAAGTCTTCAACGATCATCTTCAGACACCCTACAGAGTACAAACTCCAGACTGCCGCCGACATCCACCCCAAGCTGAACCACCACCACCGACCACCCATGGAATGGAATTCTCTCACTTGTTCAGTTGTACGTACGTTATCATCGCTATGTGTATCCTATCTTTACCCGCGACTTGAGGACATGTATATAGTGATACTACTGAAACAAGGGACACACAAGGAAAAGTCCGATCCGCCCGCAAACAATAATAAATGCAACCGTATCTCGCCCCGCTTCGCACACGTACAATTAAATGACTACCACTCGTTTCGCTTCTCATAGGTGTGGCTTTGCTTAACTCCAAGTTCCCATCTTCATTAACCTTCATTCTATCTCTTCCTTCACTCATTGTTATTTCCACACAGAAGTCGTACTTAGTTCACACTTGACCAAGGTTGTCAAACCGGTTTATACCAGTGTGCCGGTTTGGTAAGTGGAATGGTACGAACGGTGGTATAACCAGTTTGTGCCGGTTCATGCCGGTTTAAAAAAATGTGAAAATAATTAATATTCAATGTATTTAATGTATTTAATCATATATAAAACATATTTGTGGACAATTTAGTTACAATCCAACAAATTATTAATAAATTATTATTTTTATTAATTAAATTCATTAAAATGATGTCATTTTACTTAGAATGCGTGTGTCGATCATACCGGTGGTGTCATGCCGGTTTTATAACCGGTATAGATTGAACCAGGCTCAACCGGGTGGCATGCCACCGACATGACAACCATGCACTTGACACTATCTAGCTAGCTCTACGCCGCCGACAGAACCATTTCAACAAGAAGCTAGCTAGCAAGCACATTCAAACCATATTTATTTGCTTTCAGCCAACCAACCGTCCGGAAAAAAGAAGATGCTGGATGTGTGGTCCTGGATATCCGACCTTCCTTTCTCCGGCGAATGGGGCGCTACTGATGATGATAACTCGGAGTCGGCAGAGCCACTCGTCTTCCAACTTGCTACTTCACCATGCGACCCAACTCGGACTCTCCAGCTCCAAGCCCGACGAACGCCTTCTTCTTCTCCGGCAAACCCGGACGCTTTTTTTATCACTTTATCCGTATGCTTACGTGGCGCCACTCCCTCCACGCTCTGGGCCTCCGACGCCTACCTACTCAACTCCAGTGGTCCCACCACCAACACCACTTTCCTGCTGCCCCTCTTCCTCCACCTCCTCCACGAAATCTTCACCCGGGCACCCACCACGTCAACCTACAGTAGCTCCGGCCGGTCCCAGAAGCTTCGGCCCGAACCGGTGTCCTGGATCCTGGACACCCACTCCCCAGAGTCCTTCTCCAGCTTCTTCAACCTCGTGTTGCTCACCCGCCTTTTCTGGGCGTGTGCCTGCGACGCGCCCTCCGAAGTCGGCTCCTTCTACCTCGACTCCCTCCTCTCTCCCAACATCCACTCCCTGCTCACGGCCTCCAAGCCGGTCCTCGCCAAGTTCTTGGTCGCCGTCGGAGCGGACGCGGAGCTCTGCTTCGTCCGCACCCTGGGGTACATGTTAGCGAAATGGATCATCTCCAGAGAGGTGGCTGCCGGCGCAGGTTTGCGGACGCTGGTCCCCCCACTCCTTCCAGCTGTGTTCAGCTACGCCGTGGAGGCTTACGGGTACTGGACTCTCAAGGGCTACGCGCCCATCCCGGCCATGCGCCCTTCCGGAGCGCCAATAAAGCCGTTTCCACTCGAGCCGAACGACCTGTCGCTGTTGAAGTACGCTCTCGCGCATCAGCAGTTGGAAGCCGTCATTCAGCTGCACTACTCCGTCGCGTTCCACGAAGCGTACGTCCAAGTATCAGACCAAAATCCCCAAATTTCAACTTCAAATGCAACGGCTACTCCCACGGCTAGCTGGTCCGACATCGTTTCGGGAAAGGGAAGAAGTCATCCGAGAGGAACGACACCGTCTCAAGACAAAGGGAAAGGCAAGCTTAATACGCTGCCGTTTGTGACTCAGTGACAGTGTGTCACTTTCGTTCCCCTGTACTTGTTCTCCAGAGCTCTGTTTTCCTTTTCCTTTTTCTGCATTTCGACAGCTCACCAGAGCTTGTCTTCTAGCTTTGATCTTTGTATAAAAGACTGAGATGATGAATGAGAAACCAAGTTTAGGGTTTGATATCACACACTCGGTGTTATGGTATCAGAGCAACCCTAGCCGCCGCCTCCAAAATGAACGCTCAAGAAGCAGTTCCAAACATGGATCCAATGTCGGATCCTTTCTTTCTACATGGTTCAGATCAACCAGGGTTGATGTTGGTAGGTGAGAAGCTGACCACCACCAACTACAACGACTGGAGCAAGGCTATGCTCAACGCATTGGCCGCCAAGAACAAGCTTGGCTTCATCAATGGCACAATCGTTGCCCCTGATCCAACAGATGTCACTTTTTCTTCCTGGTCAAGGAACAACGTCATGGTTCTCAGCTGGGTTCAACAGGCAGTCGATCCCCTCATCAAGAAGACCATTATGTCCTGCAAACTCGCTTCTGAAGCTTGGCAAAGCCTCAAGTCACGCTATGGCCAAGGAGACATGATTCGAGTTGCAGAACTCATTGGAGCCATTGCCACAATCAAGCAAGGTAACCAATCTGTAACTGAGTACTATGGAAACCTCATTGCCCTGCAAGATGAACTCGACAATTACCAACCAATAGATCCCTGTCGTTGTACCAATACCAGTCACACCACATGTGCTTCAATGAATGCTGTTTTTGGTTACAAAGATGTCAACTCAGTTATTCAATTTCTTCGTGGCCTGAATGATAACTTTGCCACTGTGAGATCCCAAGTTCTCTTTGGAGACACTTTACCCTCAATTGATAGGGTCTTCCAACGAGCTCTTCAACATGAGAGACAACTTTTTGGTACTCACCAAGGCCAAATGAGTACTGCTGATCCATCAGCCTTTGCTGTTCAAGGTTTTAAACGCCCATTCTCATCAGGCAAACGTCCTCAATGTACCTTCTGTAACACACCTGGTCATACAGAAGAGACATGCTTTCATAAGCATGGTTGGCCTCCAGGTTACACACCAAGGGGATCCACTGCCACATCTAACCCTTCCTCTAAACCCCCTGAATGCACCTTTTGCAAGCGCATAGGGCATACTGAGGAGAAATGTTTCAAGAAACATGGCTACCCACCCCCTTCTCAGTCCAGGCCTTCAGGCTCTTCAAGACCAAGATCAACCATCAATGCTGCTGACAGCAACTCTTCAACTGACTCTGCTCAGGAATTCAAGCTCACTAAGACAGACTATGACAAGCTCATGTCCCTCATGACAGAGACCATCAAGGGCAAATCACCACACTCTGCAGCCCTCACCACTCATTACACATCATCTTCAGGTAACCCTACTTGCAACATTATCCACCAATCTGGTAAACTCATTCCATGGATTCTAGACACTGGTGCCACTGATCACATTGTCAATTCCATTCAAATTCTTTCCAATTCTCAACAAGTACATCACATTTTCATCAATCTTCCCACTGGTGATAGGGTTCAGGCTACCCACAAAGGCCAGATTTTTTGTCTTAATGGCCTAATACTCCAGGATGTTCTCTATGTTCCCAAGTTCACATTCAACCTCCTCTCAGTAAGCAAACTCACCTCTTCCAGCCAACTCAGCCTAACTTTCTCTTCTGATTCTTGCACAATACAGGACTTGAAGCTGAAGAGAGTGACTGGTTCTGCTAAGCTCCTCCATGACCTTTACCACATCAGCCTTCCTTTAGATAGTATACCTAAACCAATCACAGCAGCTGTTAGTTCTCCATCTTTTGACATATGGCATTTTAGACTTGGCCATGTTTCTCACAGTAGAATACCTTCATTGAAACAACTCTGTGAATCCATTGAAACTAACAGCACCTTACCTTGTGATGTTTGCCACTTTGCTAAGCAAAGGAGGCTTCCCTTTCCATCTAGTACCACTGTAACTAGTCACTGTTTTCAACTTATTCATGTAGACATATGGGGACCAAACTCTACTCCCACCTATGATGGATTCAAGTATTTTCTTACCATTGTTGATGACTATACCAGAATGACTTGGCTTATTCTTCTTCATTCCAAAGCTGAGGCCAGACCAAAATTACAAAGCTTTTGCACCATGGTCACTACCCAGTTTTCTACTTCTGTTCAAACAATCAGAAGTGACAAGGGCAGAGAATTCCAGATGACAGATTTTTTTGATCAAACTGGTATTCAACATGAAATGTCATGCATTGAAACCCCACAGCAAAACAGCAAAGTAGAACGCAAACACCAACATATTTTAGCTGTAGCAAGAGCATTAAAATTCCAAGCCAATCTTCCAATTGGTTTCTGGGGAGATTGTGTAAAACATGCTGTATTTCTCATTAATAGGGTCCCTACTCCAGTTCTCAACAACCTGACCCCCTTTGAGAAACTCCATAACAAACCTCCTGACTTACTTGACCTAAAAGTTTTCGGTTGCCTTTGCTATGCCTCAACAATCACCAGTCATAGGACCAAATTTCAAGAGAGAGCTAGGAAAGGAGTGTTTCTGGGATACAGTCCAGGTATCAAAGGATACAAAATTTATGACCTCCAGACCAATGACATCTTCACTTCTAGGGATGTTCATTTTTATGAGACAGAATTCCCATTTCAAGAATCCAACAATCTTCCCACCACATCAGAATCCTCTCCTCCACCCTACACATCTCCACTACCCTATCACCCTGATCAACCAGCATCAACTCCTTCCCCTCCCCAACCTCCATCCTCACCTTCACCATCCAATTCCTCACCAGACACATCACCAGCTCCCTCAACTACTTCCATCCCAACTTCATCTTCTGACCTTCCCATTGCCATCAGGAAACCAACCAGAACCATCAAACAACCATCCAAACTCCAAAACTACCATTGCAACCTACTTCAGCAGGTTTCTTCCTCCAGTCATTCTCTTCAGCAGCAAGTTCCAGGTATCACCTACCCTCTTTCTGATGTACTTGATTACAGTTCCTTGTCCCCTCCTTATCTCAAATTCATCCTAAACATTTCTTGTTACAAAGAGCCTGAGAGTTATGAAGAAGCTGCTCAAAGACCAGAATGGAATAGAGCCATCAATCATGAGATTGATGCTCTTGAACAGAACCAAACCTGGGATGTAGTCAGCCTCCCAGAAAACAGAAAACCACTTGGCAACAAATGGATCTTCAAATACAAATTTCTGTCTGATGGCAGTTTAGAGAGGGAGAAGGCCAGATTAGTAGCCAAGGGCTACAATCAACAGGAGGGCATTGATTACCAGGACACATTTGCCCCAGTTGTCAAAATGACCACAGTGAGACTCTTCCTAGCCATAGCTGCAGCAAAATCATGGCATGTTCATCAACTTGATGTGAACAATGCATTCTTACATGGGGATCTCACTGAGGAAGTGTACATGAAACTTCCTAAAGGCTACACACCCCCACCACACATCAAGAATCCAGTCTGCAGGCTTAAAAAGTCACTCTATGGCCTCAAGCAGGCTTCCAGGCAATGGTTTTCAAAACTAGCAGACAGCCTCACCAGCAGGGGTTATACATCCAGCCAAGTTGATCATTCACTCTTCTTCAAGTCCACAGGGTCTCATTTCACTTGTGTATTGGTTTATGTTGATGATCTGGTAGTTGGTGGCTCTGACTTGGAAGAAATCAATCAGCTCAAAAACTTCCTCCACACAACATTCAGCATCAAAGACCTTGGCCCGCTTAAATTCTTCCTTGGCATTGAAGTTGCCAGGAATTCATCTGGCATCCACCTTTCCCAGAGAAAGTACACTCTTGAGATACTTGAGGAGGGAGAAGTATTACTTTCCAGACCAGTTTCCACTCCTATGGACTACAAACTCCACCTGACTGCCAATCACTCAGATCCATATCCAGACCCTTCCTTTTACAGACGCATTGTTGGCAAACTGATCTATCTCACAACAACCAGACCAGACATCAGTTTTGCCACCCAACAGGTCAGTCAGTATATGTCTAATCCTAGTGTCCAACATTACCAAGCAGTCAGCAGAATCCTAAGATATCTCAAGTCAGCTCCATCAACTGGACTCTTCTTTCCTTCGTCTTCTGATCTCCATCTCAAGTCCTTCAGTGATTCAGACTGGGCAGCCTGTATGGACACTCGGCGTTCTGTGACAGGCTATTGCATTTACATAGGCTCCTCACTTGTGTCCTGGCGCAGCAAAAAGCAGAAGACCATTTCCAGATCCTCTTGTGAGGCAGAGTACAGAGCCATGGCAGACACTACATGTGAGCTTCAATGGCTCCTCTATCTCCTCAAAGACTTCCAGGTTCCACATCCCAAACCTGCCATCCTTTATTGCGACAATCAATCCGCAATCCACATTGCAGAAAACCCAACTTTCCATGAGCGGACGAAGCACATCGAAATCGATTGCCACCTCGTCCGTGAAAAATTGCAGAGTTCCACCATCAAGCTACTCCACGTTTCGTCACTCCATCAGCTAGCCGACCTCTTCACCAAGGCTCTACCACCTGCAACTTTCTCCACTCTCCTCTCCAAGCTTGGTGTGCATAATCTATGCCCACCAGCTTGTGGGGGGGTATCAGACCAAAATCCCCAAATTTCAACTTCAAATGCAACGGCTACTCCCACGGCTAGCTGGTCCGACATCGTTTCGGGAAAGGGAAGAAGTCATCCGAGAGGAACGACACCGTCTCAAGACAAAGGGAAAGGCAAGCTTAATACGCTGCCGTTTGTGACTCAGTGACAGTGTGTCACTTTCGTTCCCCTGTACTTGTTCTCCAGAGCTCTGTTTTCCTTTTCCTTTTTCTGCATTTCGACAGCTCACCAGAGCTTGTCTTCTAGCTTTGATCTTTGTATAAAAGACTGAGATGATGAATGAGAAACCAAGTTTAGGGTTTGATATCACACACTCGGTGTTACCAAGTCAGCGCCCGAGTGGACAACCTACGCTTCCACGTGGCGAAGCTCAGGTTCAGTGGGGAATCGGAATACTCGGAGGAGAGGCACTTCGTGTCGAGGGTTCGTGCCTGGGTTGGGCCGGAGATCGGAGCTACGTACGTGGCGGGCTTGACCGCGGGCCGCTCGACACACAACGGCGAGAGCGAAACGACGGAGCTACTACACGTTGGCAAGGGTGGCCCCGGAAATTTCGGGATGTTGTTGGCCAGGGAGGCTACGAGAACGAGGGTGAAGGGCTGGAGGTGGGACCAAGACGTGGAAGGGAACGCTGTCGTCTTCGATGCTGTCCTACACGATGCGGCTACGGGCCAGGAGTACTGTAGCGGCGGTGGAGGAGGAGACGGGCCCAGAAGAATGAGGAGCAGTACTGGGCCCAACAGGCCCTTCACGAAGGCGAGAGGGCTGATATTTGCCGGGGAGGAGTACGGCGATGAGGTTACGTGGAGGTTGGGGAAGGAGATGGAAGGGAGCGTGTTGAAATGGAGGATTGGAGGGGAAGTTTGGGTGACCTATTTCCCCAATCAAGTCCACACTTCCTTTTGTGAGACCAGGTCGGTGGAGTGGTCTGATGAGGTTGATTTGCCTTTGATCCCTGGAAAGTAGGGTGCCCGCACGGTGGAATAATAAATCGAATTATATATTATTAATGATGATATATTATATATATATATATACTAGAATTGACCCGTTCGCTAAGCTTCGTCAGAGTTGAAAACTGAATATGAAGTCTCAATTTAGAAAGACTATGCAAGTATCACTACTGTTAATAGAGAAATAAGTCCAAAAAAGTATGGGATTTAGAAACATAAACATACATTAGAGAAATTACAGTTTGATTTTATCATGTAAACATTACATAGTTGTTGAAATAAGGAAATAAATCCTCTATATAGAAAACTATTTTTTTGATAATGGTGATTGAATTAAATAAAAGGAAAAGAGAAACAAGTACTATGGTTCAAAAGAGCTGAACCAAAAGATACAAAAGGGAAAAGAAAGAAAACGGGGAAAAACACAGCCAACAGAACAACGAGGAAAACAAATCAAAAGGTAAAAGAAGGGAACAAACTAGTGGACAAAGGACACTCTCTCTGAATCGCGAAGGAGATCAGAAATACTGGGTAAGAAAACTGAGGAACGAAGCTACTTCTATTCGCAAAGGAAGACGTTAGAGACGAAAGTCACATACGCGATAAGCATTCCAGAAGCCAAATAGAGGACATATTCTTGTCGACCTTGTGATGAGCAGAGATCCAGGATATGATTATTTTGGTGGCTTGTAAAGCGATAACTCTGGCGGTTGCTTTAGTATCTTTGAAGATGCGTTGATTTCGATGTAACCAGACTGACCAAATCATGGCATGAAGGATGCTGTAAGCGAACCAGTCATTGATGTTGCCAGGGGTAGTTGAAGGTCTGTTAAATGTGATGTCAATTCGGTTATGTTCCTTATCTTTCCTTTTGATTTGATCCTGTAACAATTTGATCCGATTGTGGATCTAAATCGATGGTACCCATCTTTGATAAATAACCAAATCATGGAGAGGTTTCTCTAATCGGTTGGAATGACATATATAAAAAAAGCAAAGAAAAAAAAAGCTTCTAGATCATGAGTAACCAGCTGGCTACCTTAGTTGCCAAGTAAAGCTTGTAATGATGGTACCAACTCTTGAACAAACAAGATTATGCTTCAAGGGAATACTACGTTTGCTATAGTTTCCCACTGTGATCAACACTTAATCCTGTGCATCCACTTCATTATCATAGCTCAAATTGACCATACTGTCCACCCTAAAACATGTCACGTGAACCTGACTCCAAAGGACAATCAAGTCATTTTACATGATGCTTGTGAAGCTAGCTAGCTAGCTCATGTTTTCTCAATTTCACACAGGCAGAGTCAATCATTCTACTGTCACAACCCTGAATTTGGTAACTATATAAGGTCTCCATATGAGAAGCTGAAGGCTCAAGGAAGGAGACCAACAAAGACAATTAAAAATGGAAAACTACAGAGCAATCTTCTTCATGTTGTCGTCATTGGTCTGCTTTGTTGGGAAGCAAGCTTCAGCAGCTCAACATGCTGTCGGAGGAAGCCAAGGGTGGGATGAATCCACAGATTTCAGCTCATGGGCCTCAGCCCAGAAGTTCAAAGTTGGTGACCAACTTGGTATGTGTTTCATTTCCCTATCACTTAATTGTTTCCCCTACTCGAGAGCATTCGAGCAACGTATCTGAAGTTCGTATTCGTGGGTTATTACCGAAAAAATCCACGTACGTAGCATTATGTTTCAACTCAAACTTAGACCAGATATAATGTGCAATGCGAAATGTGGGTTTGCAGTGTTCAAGTACAGCTCCGGGCTGCACAGCGTGGTGGAGCTAGGGAGCGAGTCGGCCTACAAGAGCTGCGACCTTGGCTCTTCATTGGACTCCATGAGCACAGGCAATGATGTGGTGAAGCTGGGCAAACCCGGGACACGGTTTTTCGCTTGCGGGACAGCAGGGCATTGTGGTCAAGGGATGAAGGTGAAGATCACGGTCGACTCCGGCAGTGCAGCGTCCACTCCGGCATCACCTTCAACTTCGTCTTCATCATCGTCCTCGTCCTCGTCTTCTGATGCTGTTCAATCTGTTGTTGGATCCATGGCTTTGCTTGCAGGAGTGTTGAGCTTGAGCTTGTTGATGCCTCAACTGGTTTGAGAATTGAAGCTAGAGTATATTTTGTACTATGTTCTTTTTATGCTTTATGTTTATGGGGGAGAATTACAAATTCTAGTTAGTAACTGAGGAAATGTGGGTATGGTATATTTTGGATTTGTTTCATTTTTTAATTTTATATTCTTTTTAAGGATGGTTTTGTATTAATTTTACTTTGTAATAAACTAAGTGCAGACTATATTATGGAAAAAAATCCAATTTTCTCTTTACTAAAGTTCATAGGTCTTTGATGCCAATATGATAATAGTAGTCCTAAATCAAAGGACTATAATAACTCGAATTATTGAAAATAAGGCTAGTTATAAATCTTATATCATGTGTTAACATTGTGCAACGATTCAGTTTGTAGTACCATATCAAATTAATACCTGGACATGATAAAATATAATGATGTTCGTTTCTTAGTTCTAAGAACTTTTTAAATATTAAAGAACAATAATAAACTTACACTTGACGACCAAATTTTATTGAATTTAGGAAGGAGGATACAAATCAACCATCTGTATTGACATTTCAGCGATTCTAACACAAGACCCTGTGATATAGAACTCTGATAGTATATAATGAATCAGTTGGCTCTAAATCTAATATGTAACAACTAAAGGGATCAAATATGAATTTTAGCCTCACAATAATTAATTGGAAATGCATATAAAGATTCTTGTTATATTTGAAGCATATATATTAAGTTATTAGATCTAAGTTAGAAAACATGAAAAGACAGTCCAACTGTAGAACAGTGTTCTGGCATTGCCTACCTAATTACTACTTACTAGTCATAATAATCCTACTTAATTAAGCTCTAAGGATAAGATAAACAAATGCACAGGTGAAGCACGTGACCTAGGCTAGTCAAATCGCGTGGGCTTTTCATGAATTGAAAAACCCAAAACCACAGCAGGCCCGGGCCCATTAAGGAGCATATTCCTTTGTCCGTCCGCAATCAATTTTCCTTCCCCACGAGTTGCCAGTCATATTCCGGTCTCCGTTGGACTCCCCAATTCTTTCCTTCTTCTACTACTGCTTCGTTCAGTCCAATCCGGTTCCCCGATCACCGGAGCTCATTCAGCTGGACGACGTTCGGCGGAAAAACATGCCGGGGGAGACCGACTCTATCGACTACGTCATGGAGAAGGCATCCGGCCCTCACTTCTCCGGCCTCCGCATCGACGGCCTCCTCTCTTCTCCACCTGCTTCCTCCACTTCCTCCCCAGCTCATCGCTCCTCCTCCGCCGCCGGTGCATTCGCCGAAGCTGATGTCCCCCCCACGCAGCCCTTCGTCATCGGTACATGCTTCCTAACTACGCTACAGTTCTTCTGTTTTCTTCGAATTCGGCTCTGCCGATTTCCGAATTGGCTAGTGTTTCTGCGAATTTCCCCCCTTTCTCTCGAGAGAAGAAAATCCTGTTTGTGATTTCTGTCCCTGATTGAATGCTGGTTGAGCTTGAACTTTTTGCTGGTGATTTTTAGTGAATGGGCTGATTTTTTTTTTGGGTTTTGTGGGGATGAATTGAATTTCAAATCAAATAGGGGTTTGTGGAGGTACGGCTTCTGGGAAGACGACGGTGTGTGATATGATTATTCAGCAGCTACACGATCACCGTGTTGTGCTTGTGAATCAGGTATATTTTTCTACTGTGCTTGCTAATCTTGTAATTGTTTTTGATAAAGGTAGCACATTTGGTAGGATATTACTGACAGAAGATTGAACATTGCAGGATTCGTTCTATCGTGGGTTGACGCCTGACGAATTACTACGTGTTCATGAGTATAACTTTGATCATCCAGGTGAAATGCTTTGTTTTTTTCTTTTTCTATTTTGAAGTTGTTGTGCTTTTGGGGAACATATTTGTTGTTACGGAGGTCACATAAATGGGGAAATTTTCTGTGTTGCAGATGCTTTTGACACTGAGCAGCTTTTGGACTGCCTTGAAAAGCTTAAAAGTGGTCTGCCTTATCAAGTTCCTATATACGACTTCAAGAGCCATCAACGTTGTTCCTCTAGCTTTAGACAGGTATGCAACTTGCAATTGCCTCACTTTCTTTTAACCTCTCAGTAGCTCTGCAGATTAGGAGTGTGGTACTGGTAGCAGTGATTCTTTTCATTTTTGCTAACCTACTCTGAATGGTGAACGCTGCTTTATGGATCACCTTAAATAGCATCGATTTTGGGTGTTTGTCCATCCTAGAAAGGCAATGTGCTTATCTTTCACCTTTCCTGGGTTCTTAAACATGTTTTGATGAAAACTCTTGACTTCGTTAGGTGAATGCTTCTGATGTGATTATTCTAGAGGGTATCTTGGTGTTCCATGATCAACGTGTCCGCAACCTCATGAATATGAAGATTTTTGTTGATACAGGTTTGACTCCTAGTGCACCTCGTCACATATATAACCTTAAAGATGTATTTGCATTATAATTATTCTTGGCAATGAATTTCTTGTAGATGCTGATGTGAGACTTGCTCGTAGAATACGCCGTGACACAGTGGAGAGGGGTAGGGATATAAACTCTGTTCTTGAGCAGGTTAGATGGGCAATGTCTAAGTAGTTTGCCTAATTCATTCCTATTATTCAAGGACTAAGCTCTCGTCAGTTATACCCATGCATTTGCATGCCTGATCTGATGAGAGACTGAAACAGTATTCTTTCATTGTCTGCTTTGCAATTGAGGCTTGTGATCCTGTCTCATTAACTCATATGAGTTGCTTTTATGGGTTTCACTGTAAAAGGCTGAAAGGTTTCTGTTGCTTGTGCAGTATGCTAAATTTGTGAAGCCCGCGTTTGATGATTTTGTGCTTCCTTCCAAGAAGTATGCTGACGTGATCATACCTCGTGGAGGTGATAATCATGTTGCCATTGATTTGATAGTGCAGCATATCCAGACGAAGCTTGGTCTACATGACCTCTGTAAAATATATCCAAATGTGTACGTCATTCAATCAACTTTTCAGGTATGTGCTCTTTCTCACCTGATTTGTATACATTTAGATAGATCCGTTTTAGAGAAATCAAACTTTTAATCGTCTGCTTGAGAGCGAAGTTCTGCTCATGGCTCCTTCCTTCTCAATTGACGTGAAAGTAATCTCACGAACTCATCTAAAACATGGAAAAGTACTCTACGAGGTTGCAAAAACTTTGTCAGGTTCTAATGCATGTTAGTTTAGAATATCATGAAAGCAGAGCTCTACTTCTAGATTTTGAACATCATTAAATATGTGATAATGTGCTGTAATGAACATAGCATGCTTGGCTGTTGGGTCGTAATGACTTGTAGCTCAATTGTTGATGGCAATTATGATCATTTGTCTCCTACTTCCTTGCAGATTAGAGGCATGCATACATTGATTCGAGACCGAGAAATATCAAAGCATGATTTTGTTTTTTATTCAGATCGACTTATTCGGCTGGTACTTTTCATGGCCCACCTATTGTCATATGGTCCACTTTTGATTGTGCTGTTGTTCTTTCTTATTCATCACGTACCATTTTAAATATTGCGTTTGCTCTCAGGTTGTGGAGCATGGCCTTGGTCATTTACCATTCACAGAGAAGCAAGTTGTTACCCCAACTGGTGAGTGGCAGATTGAACTATACACTTATCTTTGACTAGACTTTTCTTCAGTTTTGGATAGTCACCCCTTCTCCTTACTTTCAACTTCTAACAAGGCATTGAGAGGGCTTGTTCTCGTTGCATATTGCTTCCTTCAAGTTGTTTATGTTGATGCATTCACATAGCTATACCTAAGCTTCCTTGCCTGTTTCTTTTTGCAACTAAGGTTTGTTACAGACTTCAGAAACAAAACATTTTGTGTTTCATTACAGGGTCAGTTTACACTGGGGTCGACTTCTGCAAAAAATTATGTGGAGTCTCTATTATTCGAAGGTGAGCTTAAGTATACGGTTTTGATTTTGGCAGTTCTAATCATCTTGCTGTAATATCTATCAGGCATCTCTTAAGATGTTAAGCTGATGCATTGAATATCAATTTTATTCATTTAGTCCCAATGCCTAATCATTGCTAATAATTATCCTGTTTGTAATTTCAGCGGAGAAAGCATGGAGAATGCATTGCGTGCGTGTTGCAAAGGAATTAAAATTGGAAAAATTCTAATTCACCGGGACGGAGACAATGGAAAGCAGCTTATATATGAGAAGCTTCCCAAGGACATTTCTGAAAGACATGTGCTGCTTCTGGACCCTGTTCTTGCTACTGGTAAGTCATTCACTGGTTCTGGAATCGGGATGCGAGACTTTGGAATTTATCTTTCCTGATCACACCAATTGAGATGCAAGTTAGATACTGGCTCTGTTTGGAATTGGCTAGCTGCATATGGAAACTATATGGGGGAGAGATAAAGGTTCATTCCATTACCAACTGCGGCTGTTTTGTTCTTTATAGGTAACTCAGCAAACCAAGCAATAGATCTACTCATACAGAAAGGAGTTCCAGAATCCCACATCATATTCTTGAATCTAATCTCTGTAAGTCAAATCATGCTTTTTCTTCCCTCGGTTTGTCATGTTCAAACAATTTAGTTCTTGATGCATCATCCTCTATTACACATTCAGGCTCCTGAAGGCATCCATTGCGTCTGCAAAAGGTTCCCATCTCTCAAGATAGTGACTTCTGAAATCGACATTGCCATAAACGATGAGTTCCGAGTCATACCCGGGCTGGGGGAGTTTGGTGATCGTTACTTTGGGACGGACGACTAAACGACTAACCAATCAACCGCCTGGTTTCTGCCTCCGCTACTATGCCTTCACATCAGAATAACGCACCGGGAATGACAGCGAACGCACACAGGCATTAGAAGGTTTCACTGTGCAAATGTAAGAGTAGAAAATGATTGTTCTCTCTCTCTCTCTCTCGCTCTCGTTCTCAGTCAGTAGTACTCGATATTGGGCAGTTGCTTCCGTTGTTACGTAGGCTGGAACCTGTTGTGCAAGATACATAGAACCTACAATTGGCAGATCACACATTTGCCCAGTGGTAGGAATTACCAGCTAATCCAAAACATTATAAAACCGACAAAAAATATTCCAAAGACAGCATCCATGTGTTTCTAACCGAAACTAACAACATAAAAATAGTGTACGTACAATATGATTTCACTTCATCCGAACAACGGCACCTCCATTATTGGAACGTAGGTTGCAAGCTGCTGTACTACAGGATGCCAAGAATTCGAAGCTCCAATCGGCAGAGCATACATTTGCCCCGTGGTAGGATCCAGGACATGCACCGCCGCCGGAGCATGACGATCCCAAATAATCACTTCTATTAAAGGAAAATGGCGTCTGCAAAAAACTAGGGATTTAGAATTTTGGAAGGAAGGAATCGAGAACGAACGAGACGAAGGGACAGCAAAGACAAGGTTCTGTCTTTACTAAAAACGAGTCTCGTGTCTACAGGAATTGGGCTTAAAACCCACAAAGCCCACAAAGAGGAAAATTAAAATAAACAAATTAAACACAGAAAAAGCCCACCAAAATGTTCGGTCTACACAGCCTGCTTAGGTGATCATCTTCTTCCTCAGAAGATAGACGAGAAGAACAGAGTGCAAAGATCAGAACAGGGGAAACAGAAAAACAGAGCAGAAATTTAAATGCACAGGAGCACGCTCCGAATTTAACGAGGTTCCCCAAACTACTGGGTCAGTCCTCGTCCTAGATTCAGTACTTCACTGAGATCTAGGAGACTCTGTTTTTATTGATTTTTCCTATCAAGCAAGAGAAGAGAGAAAGTGCAGACTCAAGAACAATAGAACTGAAGAACAAACTCCCCGGATCCCGATCCCAGACCCGTTACACCGTTAATCCGACAGATCCTATACCTCTGCCCAGATTAACCCACTCAAGCAAATAGCCCTATACCGCTTTTTACAAGAAGTACATTCCCAAGCAGCTGGAAGAGGATATATATAGCGATCAACCCAGATGACCGTTGCCTTTGAAAAGGTGTGGAAAAGGTAAGCTCAGGATTCTTCTTTGATTTTGCCAATTACACCAATTGCTCCCGAGATTGCCGACTTTCCATCTTTCAACAATCTCCCCCTAAGTCGGAAATCGCAAGTTGCTGATGACTCCTGCAAAAAAGACAGACAAACGAATTTCCAAACAAGAAAATGCAGCAACCAGCAAATATTAATAATCCAGAAAGAATATTCAGGACACTCTAAGACCACAGCCTGGTCAGGCAAACCGACACACCAAAGCAAGCAAGTTCACAATATCCATAATCCAAGACCACAGCCTGGTCAGGCAAACCAACTCAGCGAGCTAAAAAGAACAAACTGCTCATCTCTTAAGAAGAAAGAACTCCTCCAAACAGCTGCTCCCCCTAAGATTAAGCTCCCTCGTCAGAGTCCGATCCATAAAGAGCTTGGAGAGCTGCTGCAAACGGTTCTAGCACTGGAGCATCATCATCATCACTAGGTGCAGAATCGTCACCAGAATCCGAGTCACTACTGATGATCAGGACGTCATCATTGTCTCCATTCTCCCCCGCAACTGCTATTTCCAGGAGATCCATGACGCCATCAGCGGTGAGGAAAACAGAGGGTGTCACCACGCGGAAAGGATTAAGATTGACATGAAGTCGGGACAGCAGGGTGGTGATGAGAGGACCAAACGGAAGAGGGGAGGTGATATTCACATCACAAAACGATAAGGCTGAGCCGAAAAAGAGATCAGCAAAGCTGAGCGGTATCCCGTGAGCAGCATGCACAAGGATCCAGAGTTCTACTGGGGTGATCAACTGCAGATTTCCAGAACGAGGTAGGAACACCCTAGAGATAAAAAAATGAAGAGCTCGAAGAGATGGCAAAAGAGCCGAAACAGGCATGGACAGATTTGGACCAGGAAGACGACCTGAGAGCTGAAGAAACTCCTCAGAAATATCAAAGTTGAAAAGCGCAAGCTCAGACTCGTCAGCAAGGTTTTCCCCTATGGGAGGAATATTCAGAATATGCTCTATTTCAGCTACAGGAATAGTGAGCAGCTGACCAAAAACCAGGGTAGTGAGAAAACTAGAGCTCAAATGAGTAAACCGAAGGTTGGAATAGAAAAACCGAACAGCATCAGGGCAAATGACAGTGGAAAACGGATGGTTCAGTAAAAAATTCCAACCAAGATTTTGAATAAAGGGGCGCACGTCAAGTCCCACTTCAACCAGTTCAGCAAGCTGAACGTGATAGGAAGGAAGCACCTGACGGTTTGCAAAGAACAACTCATGACGATGAGCATTGGCCGGGATAGGATCTAGGAACAAAGTGCCAGTGAAGGTACGCAGGAAGGGAAGAGCCATAACTACTAACACAGAAGAAAGAAAATCAATGAAAAGATGAAAAGACAGGAAGGAAAAGCGCACCTATAAATAGCAACAGAAGTAAACCTAAACGAAGCAACTAAAAACTTACCAAAACAAGGAAGCAAATCAAGACAAATCAGACATAAAGACACAACTAATTAGGAAGACAAAAATAAGGAAGCTAGTCTAGAAAAGGCAAACGAAATCGCAAACAAAAGTAAAGAAAATAAAGAACATTAAGGATCAAAATCCTTAACAGTATCAGATAAGGTAGACAAAGATCGCAGGCCAATTTCATAACTTAGAAAATGAAAGCGATCAGCAGATAACGGCTTGGTAAACAAGTCAGCAAGTTGGTACTCAGTAGGAATATGCGACAAAGTGATGGTTCCTGCTTGAACTAAGTCTCTAATGAAATGAAACTTGATGTCTATATGCTTAGTACGTGAGTGTTGAACAGGATTTTTGCTCATGCATATAGCACTGGTATTGTCACATAATAGAGGTATTGAAGACAGACATAGACCATAGTCAGAGAGCTGAGTTTTGAGCCATATTAACTGCGCACAAGAGCTACCAGCAGCAAGGTACTCTGCCTCAGCAGTGGATAAAGCTACAGCTCCCTGTTTTTTACAAAACCATGACACGAGAGATGTACCAACAAACTGACAACTTCCAGAAGTACTTTTGCGATCTGTTAGACTACCAGCAAAGTCAGCATCTGTGTATCCAATTAAATCAAAATGATCTTGTTTGGCATACCAGAGCCCCACATCTAAAGTACCTTTAAGATACCGAAATATACGCTTAACTGCTGTTAGATGACTTTGCTTAGGTTGAGACTGGAAACGAGCACATAAACAGACAGCAAACTGAATATCTGGACGACTGGCTGTAAGGTACAGCAATGATCCGATCATGCCACGGTACAAGGATTCATCAACTGGTAAACCAGTCTCATCTTTGTCCAACTTAACATTTGTCGCCATAGGAGTAGGACTTGTGTTAACAGCACTCATTTCGAACTTGCTAAGCATATTAGACACATATTTGGATTGATGAATGAACGTACCAGAAGATGTTTGCTTAATTTGCAAACCAAGAAAGAACTTCAGTTCACCCATTAAACTCATCTCAAAAACGTTTTGCATAGAATCACAGAATGATGAGCAAAGATTAGTATTAGTAGACCCGAACACAATGTCATCGACATAAATTTGGACAATAAGAAAATCTGATGACACATGCTTTATAAAAAGAGTTTTGTCAACTGATCCTTGAACAAAACCCTGATCACGAAGAAAAGCAGTAAGACGATCATACCAAGCTCGAGGAGCTTGTTTGAGCCCATATAGAGCCTTATTAAGCTTAAATACGTGATCAGGATATTTTGGATCGACAAAACCAGGAGGTTGAGCAACATAAACATCTTCCTCTATAACACCGTTTAAAAAGGCGCTCTTAACATCCATTTGAAATAGAGGAAAACCCATGTAAGCAGCATAAGCACATAGAAGTCTAACTGACTCGAGACGTGCCACAGGAGCAAACGTTTCGTCATAGTCAATCCCTTCTTCTTGGGAATAACCCTGTGCAACTAACCTAGCCTTATTACGAATAATAATGCCTACCTCATCAGTTTTATTCCTAAACACCCATTTAGTGCCAATAACAGTGATGTTTAAGGGCCTAGGGACCAAGTCCCAGACATGCAAATACTCAAACTGAGTAAGTTCCTCAACCATAGCTAATGACCAAGCATCATCTTCCAAAGCAATTTTATAAGATTTAGGTTCAACTTGTGAGACATAAGCGTATTGACCAGGTATATACTTACCTCGAGTCTTGAGACCATCATTAATATTACCTATAACTTGATCAACAGGATGGCGCTTCTGAATATGCAAAGGAGCTGAAGAAGCAATCGGTGAGAAGTCTGTTCTAGCAGAATCATCCTGCAAAGGAGTAGATGACGTGGCAGGGGTGTTTTCCATATTCTCTGGCGGCTCCTGATCTGAAGACTCATTAAATCTAGGAGATAACTCAGACAGATCAAACGTTAAAGGACAAGTCGATATATCTTCAGGAGAAACCTCATTAAACCGAACATTTACAGATTCTTCCACTTTGTGAGTACGAGTGTTATAGACTCGAAATGCTTGTCCTTTGACAGAATAACCAAGAAAAATACCTTTGTCAGATTTAGAATCAAATTTCCCTAACTGATCTCGAGTATTTAAGATATAACAAGGACATCCAAAAGGATGAAAATACGAGATAGAGGGAGACTTGTTCTTAAAGAGCTCATAAGGGGTCTTATTCAAGGTTTTACGAACCAGAACTCTATTTATCACATAGCAAGTTGTACTCACAGCTTCAGCCCAAAAGTACTTAGGCAAATTGTATTCTAATAGCAAAGTGCGAGCACATTCGATCAACGTTCTGTTCTTGCGCTCAACTACTCCATTTTGTTGAGGAGTCCGAGGAGCCGAAAAGATATGAGAGATCCCAGAATCATTGCAGAAGGTTTCAAACTCTTCTACAATAAACTCACCCCCATTATCACTCTTAACAGACTTGATTTGACCAGAATGTAATAAGGCAAAAGATTTAAATTTAGCAAAAGTTTCAGTTTTGTGAGCAAGAAAGAATACCCAAGTATACCTAGTATAGTCATCGACAATAACAAAAACGTAGTTTTTCCCACCAAGGCTAGTGACATTACATGGACCAAACA